ATCTGGATGTGTTCCTTCTATCAGCACAAAAATAAAACATTCTCTCTTGCGTATCACAGCTTATTCGCCTTTAAATAAACTACTATTGCTGTTTCTTTTTCTTTCTTTCTTTTGTTCTTTCTTTCTTTTACTACATAGTTGGAAGAACATCGTACTGAACAGAAAAAGCTGAAGTGTCTGCAGAAGAAGCAGGCACAGCTTATAAAAGAAAAAGACCAGTTGCAGAGTGAGCATAGCAAAGCCATCCTTGCCCGGAGCAAACTGGAGAGCCTCTGCAGGGAGCTCCAAAGACACAATAAAACCCTGAAGGTGAGTCAATTAAGAACATGTCTATGATAGTAACTTGTTTAAAACTGTCCTTGATCCCAACTGAGGTATACTTGGGATAGTGGTCCTTTGACATGATTAAGAATTCCAAGCATTCTTTTAAAAAACACCCAGAAAACTCAGTGGTCTCCAGCATGATTATGAATAAATTTTAGTGTAGATGGGCCATGTGTAGCCTGGGTATGTTTAGCCTGGAGAGGAGACGACTGAGAGGTGATATGATAACCATCTTCAAGTACTTGAAGGGCTGTCATACAGAGAATGGTACAGAGTTGTTTTCTGTTGCCCCAGAAGGTCGGACCAGAATCAATGGGTTGAAATTAAATCAGAAGAGTTTTCAGTTAAACAGAAATTAAATCAGAAGAGTTTTCAGCTAAACATTAGGAAGAACTTTCTGACAGAGCAGTTCCTCAGTGGAACAGGCCTTCTCAGGGGGGGGTGGGCTCTCCTTCTTTGGAGGTTTTCAAACAGAGGCTAGATGGCCATCTAACAGCAATGCTGATTCTGTGAACTTAGGCAGATCATGAGAGGGAGGGCAGGAAGGGCTGCCTCAGTGCTTAGTTCTTGTGGCCCTTTCTTACACGCCCAGGGAAATGCTGACTGCCACTTTGGGGTCAGGAAGCAATTTTTCTCCAGGCCGGTTTGGCTGGAGATCCTGGAGGTTTGTCATCTTCTGGGCATGGAACAGCAGTCACTGGGGGTGTGGGGGAGGTATTTGTGAATTTCCTGCACTGTGCCTGCACTGTCTCCAATGGGAAAAAATTAGGAAAATAAGTGCGATGTCATAGTGCAGGTGTCCCCAACCTTTTTGAGCCTGCAGGCACCTTTGGAATTCTCACATAGGGTGGTGGGCATAGCTGCAAAATGACTGCCGCAAAATGGCTGCCACCAAATAGCTCCCGTTGGAGGTGCAGCCAGCCCAAAAATGGCTATCATAGCTTACTTTCAGTCACACAGTGGAGATCCTTGTGCTGTGGTGACAACTGATGCCAAAGCAACATTTTTAAAAAAAAAAAAATCTGCACAGCCAATCAAATCTCCAATGGCCAATCAGGAGACGCTGGCAAAAGCCCCACCTGGCGCTACCCACTTTCTAAAAACACTTGGTGAGCACCAGGAGAGATGTAGGCAGGCATCATGGCACCCACAAGCACCATGCTGGGGACTCCTGTTATAGTGCTTTCTTTAGCACATGATTGAATGGGCGCCATGTTCTTCCCTTCCATTTTCTGTACAAAAAAAGTTTCCAAGGGTAGGGTAGGAAAGAATCTGCAAATAGATAACAACTGTCCTGTGCTCAGATCAATTCAACCTTAACCCCCCCCCACCAACAGGTGGGGACTGGGGGACAAAATTCAGGGGGCCCAAATCAGCTGGAGGGCCCATCATGCTACATCCAGCCAAACATCTCTCCTCTTATTTTAGTACAGTTCTGGCTGCAGCCACTAGGGGTTCAGGGAAATCTGAACATAGCAAAAGGCACGCTACTATCAGCTAGACTTAGGTTTCTCGAAGACTAAAGCAGACTTGCCTAACATATCATACTAAACCCATCAGCCAAGCCAGCACTGAAGCAACAGGAAATGGCACATTGATGGCTACTACAGTAATTGCCAGCCTGCGGGTCATTTTCTCCTGTTGTCTCGCATTTCTCTCTTCCTTTCCTTACACCCAGCTCAACCAGATCTTGTAAAGCAGTAGTTACGGTGTTGCAGAAAGATAAAACAACCTGAATAAAATAGCAGAGCCCAAACTTCTCCCCTCTCCCTCCCCTTTGAAGGATACCTGCCATTCAATCCCCTCAAAAAGCCCTGGCAAACAAGCAAGCCTTGTAGCGCCTCCTGACGATCTCCAGGGAGGGTGTCCCATTCCACACAGCTGGAGCTATGATAGAAGAGGCCCGGGCTCTGGTTGATGCCAGCCAGGCCACCCTAAGTGATGGGATAACTAACAGATGGGTGTAGAGATGGTCCTTCAGCAACCATTCTGATCTCTGTCTTTTGGTCTGATGGTGTCTTAGGATGAAGGGCCCTTCTTTCTTCATGCTGGAAGTATTTTAGCTCTAAGAGCTTTCATTCAAATGCAAATACACAAAAAACGATCACTGTTCTGACGGCAACCAAAGAAAGTAAAACCCAATCATAAAATCAAATTGCACTGCCTCAGCATCACAGGATCACCAGGATAGGTCTACCAGTCTATCTAAGAGGCAACATCAGGGGAAGGTCTCAGCCTCTATGCCCTGTTGCTGGCCACTGTGTGAGACTGGATGCTGGACTAGATGGGCTACTGGTCTGATTCAGCAGGGCTCTTCTTATGTTCTTAGCCAGGAAATAACTGGCTTAGCTAGGGTTGCCAAGTCATTTCTCAGCTGCAGCGGGGGACTCCCGGGCGGTGACTGGAGCATGCGCGCACCGCGCGCACGTCACCCAGAAGTGACGTTATGACGCCGGGCATGCTGGGGGCGGGGCCACGACCATCGGAGGGAAAACCATAGATCGTGGCCCCGCCCCCAGCGTGCCTGGCATCCTAACGTCACTTCCGGGTGATGCGCACGTCGGGGTGGAGTTTCCCCCGGGGCCCGATCTGCTGGCGGTGGGGAACGGGCCTCTCGGGTGGGGGTTTCCACGCCCCCCGGGGGGACTTGGCAAGCCTAGGCATAGCCAAAAAAAAAAGTCTAGTGTTGGTAAGAAAAGACAGGATTTGGGGAGGGGGGGTTACATTATTTTCCTATGCCTATGTAATGACATCATACGACCATCATAGGCATCAGATTCAAACAGAAGCATCCTGCTAATGTTCTAGTGGCCTACTGGAGCCACTCTTCCTCTCTGCATCTGCTCTTAACATTGATCCAGTACAATAAAGTAATGTGGATAATAAATTTTCAGGAAATTACTGATTTTTCTCTCCACACAGGAGGAGACACTTCAGCGGGCGAGGGAGGAAGAGGAGAAAAGGAAAGAGATCACCAATCACTTCCAGGGCACACTGAATGATATCCAGGCACAGATTGAGCAGCAAAGTGAACGAAACATGAAGCTGTGCCAGGAGAACACAGAGCTGGCAGAGAAACTGAAAAGCATCATTGACCAGTATGAAGTCAGAGAGGAGGTGAGAGCACTGTGACCGCCAACACACATGATGCACAAGGGCTAACTTAATTTGGGTCTCTTGCCATGCCTTCCAGTGCACATTCAGGGTACTCATGTCCCTTGGCACCCATAGGCTACTCTAAAGCAGCAGAGAGAACACGGGCTGTGTAGCTATTCATATAATACTTCTCAGTTCACTACGTATTTGAACAGCAGCCGCAAAAAAATTAAAATATACAGAGCAAAACCAATTTGCATGTGTCACAAATGTAGTGGCTTGTTACTTTGTTTATTGTGTGGACTGCAGAATGAAGCATAGTTAGAAATGTATTTGTAAATAATGCTTTAATCTGTATCAAGTGTTTCCTGCTTTAACTGCTTGTACACAGTAATCATTTTGAAACACTTTCAATAATATACCGTATTTTTTGGACCATAAGACTCACTTTTTCTTCCAAAAAAAGTGGGAGGAAAAGTGAGTGCGTCTTATGGACCAAAGGTTCAGAATATTTTTTTCCCTGTTTTCCTCCTTTAAAAACTAGGTGCATCTTAAGGTCAGGTGCGTCTTATGGTCCGAAAAATACGGTATATGTCATTATGTCCTGTGGTAAAAGATATATTTTCCTCCATTACTTGACTCTTTAGGTGCCAGAACTGCTGAACCTAAAAATAAAGTACATGATGATCTGTTTTCTTCTAGCACCTTGATAAGATATTTAAGCACAGAGAGCTTCAGCAGAAACTAGTGGATGCCAAACTGGAACAGTCACAGGAATTGATGAAAGAAGCAGAGGAGCGGCATCAGCGCGAGAAGGAATATGTACTTACTTGTTTAATTTTTTTATGCATGGGTCCACTCAAACAGCCACTTGACATTTTAATTAGTCATCTCTGGTGAGTTAGAACATTTAGTGGTCTCCAGTCCAGCCATTCTCAGGCCTATATCAGTTTGCTGCAGCAGTGTGAATATATGACACTGTTTTCCAAGTATTGTCCACTCTGATTGGTGGTGGTCTTCTCTTCAAGGTGTCTCCCAGCCATGCTTTCTGAGATCCTTCAAGGGGAGGCATTGGGGACTGAACCGGGACCAAGCCATGTACTCTACCACTGACTAGGGGTTCCCCTCCTGCATTAAGGGATCAGATGCTCCCTTGAAGAATTGCATGTGTTTATCTCATGTCCTTTCTCCCAGGTGCTCAGGGTATACCTGAGGTCATCCAATTTTATCTTCACAGCAACCCATGATGTCAGATAGGCTGAGGAAAAAGTGATTGACCCAAGGTCGCTCAGTGAGTTCATGGCTAAGAAAGACTCTGAACCCCCAGTCACAGTCAATAGACCTCTGACCCTGTAGTACTACTGGACTCTGGGACATTCAAAAATAATAGCTACCCAAAGGACAAAAGCACTGGAGAGTAAGGTAGCCTCCGATTCTTCTTCCCAGAGCATCTGCTGTCTAAACCAGTAGTATAACTTACAGCCATGATTTCTAGACTCTAGGACCAAGGACTGGATCCATCATAAGCATGCCAGGTTACTATTTTATTATGTGTATGCAGTGAAAATGTTTTAGTGTGCCATAATTTTCAGGAACTCACCTGTACACTAATCAGATTTCTCTGAATCCTCCCTAGCACTTTGTTTGCAAATGTCATGCACCTCTCACTTTCTTTTGTTTGTTTGGTTTTTTTTAATTAAAAAAAAATACCCGAAGGTACACTTTTATTATTTTTTCTTTTCATTATACACTACAAACATAGATGAAAACAAACAACGCATAACTACCACTAACAAACACAGAACATATAACAGGAGGCTTATTCCATATTCTATTCTTCAATTATCTATTTGTTACATTTCTAATTGTCTATTTTACTAGCTTTATCTTTTCTGCGTTCTCAAATTTCCATCGTTATTATGCTTCTATTATACCAGTCATAAAATCTCTTCCAAGTTTTTTGAAAAATCCGTTCTGTTCCAGCTCTCATCTCCAATGTCAATTTGTCATTCTCAGCCATTTCAAACAGCTTATTCACATATTCTTGTTTCCTTGGAACACCTCTCACTTTCTTTAAAAGAGCTAAAGCAAGAGCCGTCAGCAACAGAATAGCTCTGCTGCCTCCCAGTGGCCTTTCTACTTCCTCTAGAGATGCTACACATTCCACTTGAACATTTGTGTGTATAGCATAGAGGAATCGCGTTACTAAAACTAATGTACATTGCAAATCATTTATCCTTATAACCAAAACATCCTTTGGCACGCATTTCCAGTGATTCACATATCTTGCTTTTAGATGTTTTCCTAGGATTTCTAGTGTATGAGACATTTTAATTTCTAACTACCCAACTGTAAGCTGCAGCTAGCTGATTAGATTGACCTGCCTTCATCCTATGATGTACCCAGCCCTCAAATATCCCTGGCAGGCGAAGATTCATAAAACTCTATTCAGTTTAGCATCAGCATTGAGAGAATATGAAGTAACATGAACCAATCATTTCAGGAAGCAGATTCCTAGGATCAGCTCCAGGTTTTACGTGTGAGAGCGCACGTGCATATACACAGAGATAGAGAGGGAGGGAGGGAGGGAGAGGGGGCAGCTGACCCCAGTGTACTTAGCCACCAGAAAAGTTTAAGCCTCACCCAGGGCTGCCAAGAATCATCACAGTCAAAGATTTCCACTGGGAGCCCCCCCCCCCAACATACACATATACCCAACACATAAACACATCCTATTCAGAATCAACTAAGGCATCTGTGACAATTTTACCCTCCCTCACAGGATTTCCCTTTATCTTGTTCTTCATTGAGCAGCCCATTTTTTCTATTTCTTCCTTTTTTTTCTGGCTGTCCCACCCAGTCGTTTAAATGTATATTGTTAGATGCTGACCCAGCCTAGGGAACTGAAGGGAAAGACTAAAAACCTTCTTTTTGTCCTGGTATGATAATGGTACATGAGAGGCTGATGGTAGTTCAAAAATAACAAACTGTTTTATTTAGCTTTAAGGGGAAATGGTCAGGTATGAATCAAGTATAAGACTTATGAGGTGAACAGGCAACAGGAATGAGCTAACTTTGTATACAAATAAACACCAGATAATTTGTCACAAACAAGTAACTGTTTCTGTTGTTCAGATAGGTCTTTAAAATTTGAGGAGAGAAATTTCTTGGCAGTCTTTCTTACATAAACTAGCATAAGCTTCTTGATCTAACAGACATTAAGTTGGTGAAGGTAGGAACATTCAAACAAGTTCCAATTTCCTTCCTTATCCATAGGCTAGAGATCACCCCCTTCTTTTAGGAGCTATTTCCCTCAGACTTGTTAGGGATGGGCTAATGTTTCCTACTTCCCTAACTCAGGATCCTTCTTGATCCTCTCCTTCAGACTGGATAGGGATCACTCCCCTTTTTCTAGGAACTATTTCCCTCAGGCTTTCTTTCTTAATTATTTCACCCTCTTAGCCTTCCTTCCCAGTCAACTATTAGTTCTTAACTCTCAACTCTCAACTGCCACTCATAACTGACTCTCTCAACTGAAGAATTCCATTTGAATCCCCTGTCTCATAAGGTTCTCAGACCAGATTACAGCATTAACTATTTACTGTCCATCATATGTCCTATAGTTTTTCTCCTTGCTTCAGGGGAGGTTCTTTCAAGCCTCTCCTGTGCAATGGGGTATACCATGTGTTTGCATTTTATATTTTTAAAATCCCAATGGGTCAAACTTCCTATATAATTCATACCAATTTTACAACCTGCACCTTTAGGTGTTTCTGGAGAGTGCATTGGCAACTACATTCTCTTTCACTCTTACATGCACAATGTCCAAGTTGAAATCCTGTAACAGCAGACTCCATTTTACCCTGTCTGGTAATGCCTTTTTGGTTAGTTCACACAATGGAACTTCAATGGAATTGAACTCTGGAAAGAACCTCCAATAATATCCCACAACTCCTATAAAGGCTTTAATTTGCTTTTTGGTTGTGGGTCTAGACCATTCCTGTATAATTTGTACTTTGCTCCACTTTGTCATATTATTCACCTGATAAGTGCAGCAGTTTCATGATATCCTGTATCTTTAGCAAATCCTGGAAAATCCCATATTTCTCATTGGAATGGGGAGAAATCTGCCTCAGATTGTAAATTCATGAATGGTTTGTCCAGTGGCCTTCTCAGTCATAAATAAGTACATAAGAGAAGCCAATGTTGGATCAGGCCAATGGCCCATCCAGTCCAACACTCTGTCACACAGTGGCCAAAAATACCAGGTGTCATCAGGAAGTCCACCAGTGGGGCCAGGACCCTAAAAGCCCTCCCAAGCACCAAGAATACAGAGCAACACTTGCCCCAGACTGAGCGTTCCTATCCATACCTTGTGGCTAATAGCCACTGATGGACCTCTGCTCCATATGTTTATCCAATTCCCTCTTGAAGCCGTCCATGCTTGTAGCCACCACCACCTCCTGTGGCAGTGAATTCCATGTGTTAATCACTCTTTGGGTGAAGAACTACTTCTTTTTATCCATTCTAACCCGACTGCTCAGCAATTTCATTGAGTACCCATGAGTTCTCGTATTGTGAGAAAGGGAGAAAAGTACTCCTTTCTCTACCTGCTCTATCCCATGCATAATCTTGTAAACCTCAATCATGTCACCCCTCAGTCATCATTTCTCCAAGCTAAAGAGCCCCAAGCACTTTAACCCTTCTTCATAGGGAAAGTGTTCCAACCCTTTTATCATTCTAGTTGCCCTTTTCTGCACTTTTTCCAATGCTATAATATCTTTTTTGAGGTGTTGTGACCATAATTGTACACAGTATTCTAAATGAGGTCGCACAATCGATTTATACAGGGGCATTATGATACTGGCTGATTTGTTTTCAGTTCCCTTCCTACTAATCCCCAGCATAGCATTGGCTTTTTTTTACTGCAGTCACACACTGTCTCAACATTTTCAGTGAGTTATCTACTATGACTCCAAGTTCTCTCTCTTGGTCAGTCTCCACCAGTTCAGACCCCATCAACGTGTATTTATAGTTAGGATTTTTGGCCCCAATGTGCATCACTTTGCACTTGGCCACATTGAATCCCATTTGCCATATTGACGCCCACTCACCCATCCTAGACAGATCCCTTTGGAGTGCCTCACATTCTTCCCTGGTTCTCTCCACCCTGAACAATTTAGTGTCATCCACAAATTTAGCCACTTCACCTCTTACTCCCAACTCCAAATCAATAATAAACAAGTTAAAAAGCATCTGACCCAGTACTGAGCCCTACAGTACCCTACTGCTTACCACCTTCCACTGTGAAAATTGTGCATTTATACTCACTCTCTGTTTCCTATTAATTAGCCAGTTTTTGATCCACAAGAGGACTTGTCCTTTTATCCCATGACTATTGAGTTTACTTAGGAGCCTTTGATGAGGAACTTTATCAAAAGCTTTCTGGGAGTCAAGGTAAACAATATCTGTTGGGTCCTCTATTGGGTCCCCCTTGTCCACGTTTGTTCATTCCCTCAAAGAACACTAAGAGGTTAGTGAGACAAGAGTAAGGCTGGATCCATACAAAAGATTAACTGTTGTAATTTTTAAAAACCCAGCAGACAAACCAGCGACCCTGTGTTCAGTTCTTTCTTTCCAGTTGCATAACAGAGTAGAACTTCATGGTACCCTGATGTCATCATGCTATGTGATTGCCCCACCCAACACTAGTTATAGGTGCAGAAATGGAAAAATACTTAGGAATATAAAAGACTTTAACATCCTTCCCACAGTGAACTCAGGGCAGCACAGCTCTTCCTGTTTATCCAAACAACCTATGAGGTGGGCTAGGCTGAGAGAGAGATGGGCCCAAGGTCACCTTGTGGGCTTCATGACTAAGAGAGAAGATGAACCCTAGTCAAACACTACATCTGCATTGGCTCTAATACATTGTACCATAAGTACAGCCTGGAAGGTGAGAACACAACATATATTGGGTGACAGCCCTGTGTTACTATACTCCTATCCATTTGGGAGTCTCATGACTTAAAGGCTCTGCCTGTCCCCTACTCCTATCCATTTGGGAGTCTCTGTCATGACTTAAAGGCTCTGCCTGTCCCCTTACTCCCTACAGCCGCAGAAGCATCTGCTACCATTAGAAATGCAAATGAGCATTGGGCTCCACCAACGGGTATATCCCTTTTGGCCATGTGTAATAAATCCACATGTCTTGATTGTAGTCCCATAGGGCCTGTGTAAAGCAATGAAAACTGTTTCCAAGCATAAGAAGTTAGAATTAAAAGTCTCTTCCCATTAGTTACTTTCTGCATTGTGTCTTTAATTAGAGAAGTAGTTTGGATGGGGAAGTTGGAGGGAACAGAGAGAACAATGTTCCTGAGGCTGTACTAAGCCCAGCCTCAAGCAGTCAAATCTTAACAAGACTCTTTGGACATTTTGTAAATCTAGGCACAAACTCCAACCCTGTGTGTATAAAAACTGCATTCAATAGTTATGTATTCTTTATGAACTGGTATCTGCTTTAAGTCCCCCCTTGTTTCTGCTTCATATTTTATTAACAAAAATACCAGTTTTAGCATCTGGCTGGCCAGGTTGGTTTCCAAAGATTACCTTAGGCTGTATGTTTGAAACACACACACACACACACACAACTGTTAGTCCAGAGAGTCGCTTGCAGTTTTGCTTCTCTTGCAGGCTAACTTCTGGGTTTTTTATTGTTCTTTAGGAGTAAATACATTTGTTGTAGGACATCAAGAAGAAAGGAGAGAGAAACTCATTAATAAGCCACAATGGATTACATGCGTAAATGATTTCTGCCTCATCAGTTCTGTTTGGTTATGGCAGAGGCCTTTTGTATCTGACATGAGACCTCCACAGGGTCCCAGCTGGAATATGCGACAACACAGCCTGGGTGAAATTTTAAGTGATACTAAAACCCAGGCAGTTTGCTGGATTAATGACTAGCTTGAAAACTGACTTGGCCTTGAGGCTATTCAGAGTTTTGTTTCATACCATTAAACACAGCCAACTTGTAATTCCCTCACAGGATTTCATTTTAATCTCTGTTGTTTTTCCTCTGATGAAGGAAAGAAGGAAGAAAAAACTGTAACATTTTCAAAACCACATGAAAAGCCCTTTTATCTATATAGCTTACCTGCATTGCTTTAGGATTTACTGTTGTGATTTTGAAAGGTACTAGACAATATAAAGACTCAATTAATTCCAAGGAGTTTTAATTGAAATGAAGTGCAATGTTTGTTTATTCCAAACCCAGCTACTCACCCAAGCTGCTGAGTGGAAGCTCCAGGCAAAAATGCTGAAGGAACAGGAAACAGTTCTCCAAGCCCAGGTGAATTAGGAGAGGAAATAGCATGGTGTGCCTTTATTTTTCCATATTTAATACAACAGACACATAAACATGGGTTCCTGTAGTCACGTATGCTTCTTTCTCTCACCCCATTAATATAGATCAATGCAACACTTACAACAGAAGCGTGCACCATGTTTAACACCAGCAGTATTTGCATGGAGCCAGTTTATAATGTCTGTCAGAGGGGATGTATTTGTGACCACATGATAAGGGAGGGAGGATTAATTGTTAGCAGCATCACATTTTATATGTTTGTTGATTTTCACCTTCAGCCAATCAGTTTCTTACATTGTTCCTAATCCCAGCATCCACCCATTCTTGTGCTACCTTGATTTAGTGCAGACTACTTCAGTTGCATGTGCTTTGCAGTGACCTTAATTTGCAGCAAGTCCATAACATAATTCTATAATTGGGAAAAAACGTATAGTTAATCAAATGGATTATGCAAATATAGACACTCTCCTTTAATAAACCATTCCAATATTGATTGCCTAGGAATATACCCATGTTTAGCATCAACGTAAACATGCAAAGATGGCTTCTACCTAGTAAGATCATCAGTTCTTCTACCTCAGTATTGCTGTCAAGGAGAGAAAAGCCTTCCCAGTACCTGGCCGTGAGAATCAAAGCAGGCATGACAAAGATCACAGATCTCCATCTATAAAGTAAACTTTGTATTGCATGATTCAGGGAGGGGAGAGGAGGAAACTGTCATAGGATTCAGCCCATTCAGGGCTTTTCCACATCACGTCTTTGCTGCAACTTGGCTTGTTAACTGAATAGGTTGTTCCCTTTCTCTACACATTGCATTGGGGGGGGGTCCCCCTCAAGTTTTATCCAAACCACAGCAAAGGTGATCTGAATACACACACAGGGAAAATTCAAAAGCAAAAAAGCAGGAACGCAATGAATGGCAAAAGATGCTGGGGGTGTGTGTGTGTGTGATGCAATTAAGAAGCATAACTCCAGCAAAAACTCAGAGCAGAAAAGCTGAGTTTCTCCTACTGAAACCAGACTCCCCATACTGCTACTACCATTTTAAAGGGAAAAAAGACATGATCTTTGTCATCTCTGTTTTGGTCCTGATCAAGCCTGGGACCACCTGAATGCCTAGAATGTACGCTACCATTGATCCACAGTTCATCACCCACAGTAACAGCAATTGCTTTAAGAAAATGCCACCTATTCTAGGTAAGATACTGTCCTTATGGCAAAGTGAAAAATGAACTGGATCTACAGTTTATCATCGGACAGTAAAAAGAGGTAAGGGGAATTGACAACGTGGTCCGTTCATCAGGAGAAAGGGGCTCACGATAAAAACAAATGTTTCTGATCCTAGCTACTGTCCATCTCTCCCCGGGCAGATGTTGCCCTCTCTTGTTTAAGCAATGCCAGCTTGACAGCCAGAGACTTGCTCCATTTTAAAAATAAAAGTTGGGCTTCTCAGGAAGGAAACTGATGGTCGCATGAAATATCTTGCTGTAAGGTGAACTCTGTGATCTGCATGACTGCAGCTATGCAGTAAATTAGCATTCCTACCTCATTCTCTGGCGGCTGCTTCTTCAGCAACCCCACCCTCAATCCCTCCCCCCATCCATCTTACATAGAGCAAGCTGAACACAGAATTCCTGTGTAGTATTATGCAAGTTTCATATACAAAGGGTTTATAAGATTAGATCAAAACACAACCCTGTGGACCCAGAGTAGTAGTAATAGGTGGAGTGACTGGAAAAAGCACTCACAGACAGAGAAGCCAAAGGAAGAAGGGGCAAGGAAGCAAAGAAAGAGTGCCTGTGAGGGAAAACGGGAAAGAAAGATAAACAGGGAAAGCAAAAACAGAGCACTGAGGTAAGTATTATTGGAAAGTATGAAACACTGACTGAGGTAAGTATTATTGGAAAGTATGAAATGTGAGACAAATGAAGATAGAAGAAACCAGTATGAGTATCAAAATGAAAAGCAACAGAGCCAGGCAAGAAAAAGAAGCAACAACCATCAACAAATAACCAGCCCAAGAAAAGGCTACGTGACTGTTTTGAATTGTTTGTACACACAGAAGGCCATGTTTACCCTTTGATGGAATGAGAAATGCACTCAGGAGACAATCCCTTTTTCAGAGAGCTGAGGCAGTTTGAAAGGTCAAGATGTGCTGGCCTCCTACTTTTACCTCTGGTAAATAGGCAAATATCAAGCCTGAACTCTCCCTAGAAGCTAAAATGACCAAGCTGAAGCTATCGTACTTTGGTCACACTATGAGAAGACAAGAGGCACTGGAGAAGACAATAATGCTAAGAACAGTTGAAGGCATCAGGAAAAGAGGAAGATCCAAAATAAGATGGACTGGTTCAATCAAGGAAATCATGGCCCTCAGTTTACAAAACCTGAGCAAGGCTGCTAATTCATAGGGTTGCTGTCAGTTGGAAGCAACTTAACAGCACTTAACTCACACACAAAACCTGTTTGAGCAGAGGTAACAGTGGGGCAAAAGAAATATGAGTGTACATGAATTAGTAGGATTCTTACAGCATACTGCTCTAAAAACCTTGGCCATCATCTGAATAAACCAGATATGTTAACTGGGAGCTTAGAAGATCAAGAATCTGGGACATAGGTTGAATCTGCATTTGTCTTTCCCACCGGTGTCCCAGCCTTCTGATTCCATCTTCAAAAAAACTGTCTACATTTGGTTTCATTTTCACACCTTAACAGTGCTAGCATACTTCTACATGTCTGCATATGTTTATCGCCCTCTTGTGGCGGCTCCACTGTCATTGCACCTCCGCACAGCTTTAAATGAATCTTCTCCAAAGAACGTTCAAACAAGCATAGAGAAAGACAGCGTCACAGCAACATGAAACTGATTTAAAAATGCAAATGCAGTTTCAACCACAGAGGCAGGATAGAACAAAATGGTAGAAAGTACTGCTATACATATACACACAGTTTATAATTTTAAAAAATTAAATTATTCAGTTTAAGAAAAGATTCAAGATACTTGCAAAATCACTTGTTCTTCATACATAGGAATTGTAAGCAAAGGTTGCCATCTTAATTTCTGTGCCATGGGAGCCATGCATAGACTGGCTAATGCTTCCTTACAGCTTCGAATCCAGAGAGCTTCAGTTTCCCTTGCTTTTTAAAGCTTTTTGGGTTTTTTCCAAATTGCTTTGCTGTGACATCTGTTCCTTCCAGTGGATGTTCTCTGTCAATAGGTAACCAAATTCGAAGTCAGCATTTATACAGCACTGAGCCCATGTTCAGTGTTGCACTCCCAAAGACTGGGGAAGACAGCTTGAGATAAGGTAGTAAGAAAACATGTAGCTACCTTGAGCAGTACAGGTCAATACCACACAGATGGTGTGAACACCAATACTGTTTAACATTTACATGCGCCCCCTTGCCCAGTTGGTCCAGGGGTTTGGGCTGGGGTGTCATCAGTATGCTGTTGACACCCAGCTCTATCTGATGTTGGACGGCTGCCCGGATTCCGCCCCTGAGAACCTGGACAGTGCACTAGAGGCCATGGCTGGGTGGTTGCAACAGAGCCAGCTGAAGTTAAATCCTGTGAAGACGGAGGTTCTGTACCTGAGCTGGGGAGGGGGGAGCAAAGTTCCCTCTAAGCTGAGTTAGTGTGAGCTAGCTCACAGTTTTTTAGCCTCCAGCTCACACGTTTTTGTCTTAGCTCAGGAAGGACGGCTCCAGGGCAAACTAATTTATGCAGTAGCCAAATCGCTCGCTCACAGCTTTAATGCCAGCAGCTCACAAAGTAGAATTTTTGCTCACAAGACTCCACAGCTTAGAGGGAACATTGGGGGGGAGTGGATTTGGGGATTAGGCTCCCTACCCTGGATGGAGCACCATTGGTGTCAACTCAGAAGGTGAGGAGCCTGGGCGTGATCTTCGATGCCTCACTTTCCATGGGGGCCCAGGTTGCTTAGGCTTGCCAAGTCCCCCCGGGAGGCAGGGAAACTTCCGGTCTTCCGCCGTCCTCTGAAGTTTGCTCAACTTCATGTTCATTGCATCTATGACACTGTCTAACCATCTCATCATTTGCAGTCCCCGCCTTCTTTGACCTTAAATCTTTCCCAGCATCAGGGTCTTCTCCAGGGAGTGCTCCCTTCTCAGAATACACAGTCCCAAGGTAGTTGTTCTTTGCCAAATTTAAGTTGGATGCAACCAATCCAAATTGTTCTCCAGCACAGTAATAGGAAAATACCAGAAAAAACAGCATCTGCTCCCTTGGCTATATAATCACCTACGGTAAAGCCAAACATTTTTGGACCTGTAAAACACTTGTGCCAAACAGCTTCAGTTCTCACTAGTCACTTCTCTGTGACTGATCTTACTTCACTCCATATAAAGACTTTATAACCGTTATCTGACTCATAAGTTAGTTCTGTATGTTCATTGTTGGGTTTGACTCCGACAAAAATTATTCTGTAGGGCTAAAACTTTGTAGTTATTGTATTTTCATCTTGCACAATAAAAGTAATTATTTGAAGGGTTTTGTGATTATCTTTATCATGAAGCCATCCTGGGGTCTACGAAACTGATGTGATGGTTTTTTTCCTCCTTTGAATTTAGCTTACTCTCTATTCAGAACGGTTTGAGGAATTTCAGAAAACCCTGACAAAAAGCAATGAAGTGTTTGCCAGCTTCAAGCAGGAGATGGATAAAGTGAGTTGCACGACACCTCCCTGAAACCCATTTTTGGATGCTGATATTTGGGTAGAGGGTGAACCGGCACTTCCTTCAGCTTCCTTTGCCCTCCTTTTATCAAGACTCTTTTGCATGCCTTGCAGAACCAGATAAAAATCAGTTACTGTTTCTCCACAATGTTCAAGGGCATTATCAAGACCCAAACCCAAAAAATAATATGTTGATGTTTTCTACTTTTTTATCCTTAATTTTTAGCGACAAAACTGAGTCAAGAACCTATGGTGAAGGCATTTCTTGCACACTCAAGGGGGCTGAGATGCAGCTGAGGCTTTCCAAATGGGCAGAAATAGCATATGGTTTGAGCCACTTTTGGGCTACACCACTTCACCTTGTATGTGAAGGGAGAAAGATTGTATGTTTGAGTTTTATTTTTATAAATAAACCTTCCCATTTCTATGCCAGCTTTCGAATGAGCCTAACTCTCTTTAAAGAGGTAAAGGTAAAGGTTGTTGGAAATGTATGTGTTTACAAGGTCTGATTCAGTCATTATAGGGTTAACTTGTATTCCTAGTTTGCTATTGTTTAGACTGACCTGGAAGGGATACCTGGCACTGAGCCAATGGGGAATTAGCCCGGGAAAAGTAGCTTCTACTGTGATACAGATTGGTCATTTGTTTCAGGTGACTTCCTTCCTAGGGGTCAAGAAGAAGGAGAGAATCTCCATTATGTGTGTGCTTGTTTTGTCTGTAGGCAGCATAGAAATGTAGCTCTTAGTGTTATGTTAATTTGTAGTGATCCCGTGAACCCTTTTCCCTTAGAATAAAGTATTTTTAAAAGCAAAGAAATCTCTTCTTTCCAATAGAGCAAGATCCATCTAATAGTCTTAAGTATTAAACAATTTTTGACTATTTTACAACAAAGGTTCCCTTACTCGAAAGCCAGTCGAGTCCAACTCTAGGGTTGTGGTGCTCATCTCCGTTTCAAAGCCGAAGAGCCAGCGCTGTCCGAAGACGTTTTCCGTGGTCATGTGGCCGGCATGACTAAACACCAAGGCGCACAGAACGCTGTTACCTTCCCACCAAAGTGGTACCTATTTATCTACTTGCAATTTCTTGCTTTCGAACTGCTAGGTTGGCAGGAGCTGGAACTAGAGACGGGAGCTCACTCCGTCATGTGGCAACTCAGGTCTCGAACTGCTGAACTACTGACCTTCGACAGCCTGCAGTTCAGCGTCTTAACCACTTGAGCCACCGCAGCTCCTATCTTTAGTGTAGTGTAAAATGGACACAAATTGCCACTACATTCAAGGCTTGTGTCCAACAGCATGCATAACTCACAACCATTAAGGACAGTAGGAAATATGCTGCCAAGCTAACAGCAACTGACAGGCCCATCCTAAGCAGAGTTGCACTCTTCTAAGTCCCTTGAAGTCAATGTCATGGAAGTATGTACATCTGCTTAGGAATGCATATGAGTTTGGATATGATTCATTCTGCCATTGTTGTCATAGCATTACTTCTAAGAAAGCAGAATGGCCACGGCAACCACGTGGATGGTCTACTAATGGTCCTTTGAATCATTCTTCCTCCTAAAATCTATTTCATTTGGAGGACAGGATGCAAATGGGTTGGAGGAACAGATTATGAACATATTTAGAGTCCAGTGGCACCTTTAAGACCAACAAAGTCTTATTCATGCAGACTTTTTCAAATACATTGGAAGGAAGGATCATGACATAACTGTAAAACATGAGCTCCCTGAAACGAGTTGAGTTCAACAAGCAGGATCGATACACTGGAAATGCTGCCACATACACAACCCACAAATGGTCCTCTGCTAATGTAGCAATATGGCCAGTGTGGTCTTGCTGTCTCCCTAATCAACAGGTACTACACAATGTACAGGACCCCGGCATTGCATTTTGAGCAGAGGACCCTTGTAGGCACGGCAGTAAGGATTACTCCGCAGCCTGAGTAATGTATTTTACAACTTGCAGAGAGTGGTGCGGTCATATGGCAGTCTCAAATCCTATGTTAAAACTCACTTGCTCCACTACAGCTGCTATGGCTCTAATGGGCTGACAGATCAATTGGCATTCAGTCATTACATACAGATTACAAATCTAGAATGGAGCCAATTAATCAGAAGAAGGGATCCTTATGGCAACATGTTCAGTGCTTATGGTACCATCTGGACACAGCTCATAATTCATGCCGTGCACTCATCTTTCCATACTACTGCTATATTCAGCTATCATGTGCTTGATTATTAATATCTTTTCACTGCAGCTACTGGGTACAGGCAATTATGTGGTGTTTTCATACAAGACCCATTAACATATCATGTGGGCAGCCTTAATACCCACAGCCTTAAGGAAAGCAAGCTGAAGTTCTTGTATAACTCCAGATAATGTTTTGTCATTCCTACTGTGATCTACGCATTTTATTTCTCTAGATGACAAAGAAGATGAAAAAGTTGGAAAAGGATACAGCTACGTGGAAATCAAGGTTTGAGAATTGCAATAAAGCTTTATTGGACATGATTGAAGAGGTGAGAAACAAGTTCTTGAACATTTTGTTGTTTGAGAGCATCATCTGAAATTAATTAATCCAAAAGATGTAACCCAAGAACGTTTAATGTTATTAACAGCCAGTCTCTGAAACAGCAACTATTGAGAGGATACTTCATAAGTATGCAGGCTACCCTCTACCATGCTTTAGCCATCTTTTTGTCCCAGGGCTATTTTTGGGCAGGAACGCACAGGAATGGAGTTCCGGATGGCTCCCAAGTTGGCCACGCCTAGCAGGAACTCATTAGCATAATAGGCCACACCCAACAGCAGAAACTCATCAGGACTGGCTACATTAGGGGTGTGTGGCCTAACATGCAAAGGAGTTCCTACTACAAAAAAGCCCTGGGTTTTGACAACAAACAAGGTAAGCAGAATAAGAAGCAAAAGGTGGGTGTGGCTGGATGAGCACACTTCTGGTAACATGGGGGTGTGGCCTAATATGCCAATGAGCTGTGCTGTCATGGGTGTGGCCTAATATGCTAATGAGTTTCTGCTGTTGGGTGAGGCCTATTATGCTAATGAGTTCCTGCTGGGCTTTATCTACAAAAAGAGCCCTGGCTAGACAATTGGTGACTGAAGAGAGGTAAAGAGTTATTATTCCCCTCTCACAAAATATTTTGGGGGAGATTTTTGCTTCTGACAAACACAAGTCTTGAAAACCAATAGAGTTAGCATGACAATATGGAATATATATATTGTGTGTGTGTGTGTGTGTGTGTGTGTGTGTGTGTGTGTGTATATATATATATATACACACACAATGAAGATTGCAAGGTCGCAATGAAGATTGCAAGGTTTCAGAAGTCCAGCAAACTATGACATCTCTAGAGAACTATGACACAGAGAGTGATTAAAATGTGGAATTTGCTGCCAGAGGACACAGTGGTGGCCACAGGAAAAAACCAGGTTTAAAAGGGAATTAGACAGATTTATGGAGGATAGGCCTATCAGTGGCTACTAGCCATGGTAAATGAGGGGAACCTCCACATTCAGAGGCAAAATTTTCTGAATCCCAGCGCCAGGAGGCAACATCAGGGGATGGTCTCGGCCTCTATGCTCTGTTGTTGGCCCTCCAGAGGAATTGGTTGGCCATCGTGAGAGACAGGATGCTGAACTAGATGGGCCACCAGTCTGATCCAGAAGGGCTCTTCTCTAAGAGAAGAAGTGTACACTAGACAGTAGAGGTCAAATCAGTGGTATGATGTCACGTAAAGCAGTTTAATTGGTGTGTGTGTGTGTGTGAGTGTGTGTGTGAGAGAGAGAGACAGACAGACACAGACAGACAGAGAGGTCATGTGCCCCCCCTTAGCCTATCCAGTTCTGTTTTTTATATTGGTAATAATAAATGTGTTCATTTTTTTCTCTGTCACAGAAATCCATGAGGGCCAAGGAATATGAGTGTTTTGTGGCAAAAATTCAGAGGCTGGAGAACCTCTGTAGAGCACTGCAGGAGGAAAGGAATGTACTGTACAAAAAAATAAAAGAAGCACAATTCCCTGAGGAGAAAAGGGAAGAAGAAGACGAGGAAGAAGAGCAGACCAGAGAGGAGGACAGCCTAGGAAATGAGGCTGGTCCAAGCTCTTCTGTTACAGACCAGGCTGATGAGTTATCAGTTGCTAATGAACTGGTCGTGAAGGATTTGGCTGTTGCTAATGAGAATGCCTTGAAAGAACTGGCTACAGCTTTCATAGTGACCCATCACCTGGAAATGCCCCTCATAGACACCAATCAGGAAGCCAGCAAAGAGTCACATGACCTACAAACATGCAGCCCGCTCTGTTTCCCTGAGCCAACATTACCATCTCCTATGCACCAAGACACAGCAAGCCCTTCTGTGGAGCCAATAGCACCTGTCCCAAAAGCTGAGCAACAAGAAGGAAAACCTGAAGAGCAACCTGCTGAAAATTACCCAGAGCTTCAGTTGCTTGATGCTGACATGGAAGGAGTTGATTAGTGTAGCATGTAGAAGAAACTTTCTTTCTACAATTCCATCTTCTCATTCTTCTCCTCTGATTATTTTTACAAAAGAAATTATGAGGCTTCCTAACCATTCAGAGTTTTACCCTTCAAGACTGTGAGAGTCATCTTGCTAATATGCCATCAAGTTGAATGAGTAGCAATGGGCTTGAAGTTTGCCTCATCTAATCAAGACAAAGTTCTTTCCTGAAGTAGAGCAAAACACATGATCTTCCCTATGCTACTATCTGCCTTCAGCAATGATAAAGTAGGAAGCCCTAAAAGCCCTTGACATTCAGCATACTCTCAAACAACCACCACCAGATCTTGAATATTACTTTGGTTTTATGTAAAACAGTGCCATTTGAAATATGAGAAGTAGCATGAACTTAGGAGAGTGGAGTGGTGGAAGTAAAAGGGGTTAAACAATAATGAAGAGGTCTGAATCAATCATAAAATAAAAGGAGTGGTGCAACAAACACAAAGCTGTTAAAACCTCTGTCTACATGTGTACTGCCAACATTATCACTTCCAGCTGAACTACAATTTTCAAGCCACTTTGTCCTAAACAATTCCCAAGACTACAGCCAGAAACAGCCCTGGGATACTTGTAGCTTGACTACACTAAATGCAGTAAGCCCTTGTTCACAGGGAAGACAGACTGTTCAGTGTAGGTGATCTTTTGTTTGTTGGTTTCCAAGAGTATTATATGAAAATAAATAATATTGTCCAATAAAAATTTGTATTGATACATGAGTATGCAGTCTTACACTCTTCTAGTCCCACTGACTTCAATGGACCTCAAAATGGTATAATTCCATTTAGGATTGCCTCATAAATTATGTTACCAGACAAAATGGGAAGTTAGCTGCATTTCAGAGAAAAGACTGATTACTGTGCAGTTCTTACTGAGGCTAGAAGTACACACATATGCAAGTTAATTCAAATTCAAGCGAACTTCTTTCCAAATAAATGTACTCAGCACTGGGGTGTTAGATCCTAAGTCTGGATCCTCATTCATAAAAATGTTAACATGTGAGATGCAGAACATGTTGATTTGACAAGAGGTGCAGCCTGTAATTCTGTACCCCTCCCCAGTTGTATGTTTGAAAATATTTTTGACTTCTAAAATCAGTGCTCCCTGTCATATCAGCTTTCCGTATGCAAGGAGCTTTTGAGGTGGCATCACCTTCAAAGAAATGGTCCTTCATGTGCTTTCTGATGGGCAAGAACTTTGCAAGAACTAATATGGGCAAGAACTTGTTCATGGATTTCTTCGGAACCAATGAATGTGCTCTTGGGATCAAGTTATTAGTCACACCCAGAAAAAAAATAACATATTAAATTACTAAAATATAATAATCTAAGATTCTAAGATTCAACACTGATCCAAATAAATATGCTAGAAACTGGCAGAATTGTAGTAATCTTTATCTTTTAGTGGATATTTCTTTGAAACCTGTAGCCATGTTGCTTGCATTCATATTCAGCATACAATAAGTAGCTTAATAGAAACTGGCAATCCTTAGAATTGTAGTCATCTTTATCTTTTAGTGGATATTCCTTTGAAACCTGTTGCTTACATTCATATTCAGCATACAATAAGTAGCTCCCCTAAAAACCAAACTGATAATGTATGTACCTTGTTTCACCTATTATAGCTATACTATCAACAAACTACACTGCCATTATTTAAACATTTATTGCCGTGGAGACGCAGGCTGGGCAGGAGCAGGTGGGCGGGCTGGCTGCCTCACCCAGGGATCCCTGGCGAAGCGGCTGGGCGAGGGTGCTGGGGACGCAGCCCCGCGGTGGGGAGGGGGAGGCTGGCCATCCGGCTACTCGCCTAGCCTCCTAGGGCTGGTGCATCTCTTGGTGTGACAGGCTGCTGGGCTGGGTGCGCTCCCTGCTCTTGCTCTCTCATGAAGAATATCTGAAGAAGTGACCAATCAAGGACTGGTGAGTCAAGAAAGCTCTTACCCTGCTACAAATTTGGTTAGTCTTTAAGATCCTACTGGACTCTTGCTCTTTTCTCTTGAAAACACAAAAGTGTTCAGATTTTTTTTAAAAAGTATTGAGATATACACATTTAAAAACATTTGTACAAAACAGGTCTATACATTTCTCTGTTATATACAAAAATAGCTTAATATATCCCCAAAATTGGTTAAGAATGATACAAATAGATTTTTTTAATATAATAAAAAGTTCACAGGAAAAAAATTGGAAGCATTTCATGAGGGATGGTAGGAAGGGAGGGAGTCAAAAGTAGACAAAGGGGAGACACATTAAAGGGTTCCTTGAATATAGCATAGTTTTGATTTTCAAAATCTTCACAAGCATTAGGCAACCAAAGCCACAATCCTATGATACTTACTTGAGAGTAAGTTCCACTGAATTTGGTAAGCATCATTAGAAATGGGCTGGATGGCTGCAGTCCTAAAGTCACTTACCTCCGTAAAACCCATTGAACTCCATGGGGCTTAGTTCTGAGCAAAGAAGCTCATGCTGCAATTTCTGTTTACAGAGAAATGAATAAACCAGTCTTTCAAAAAAAGAAGAAGAAGGGAGGGGGAATAGTATTCTTATTTCACCAAGAAGGGAACCTCATTGTTATGTAGAAGATGTATATGGAACAGGCAGTACTGTTTTGCTTATGGGGGTCGAGAAGTGTTCAGATTACTTTGGACTGAAGCAAAGCTATTTTTCTTCCATTTTAAAAAAATCAAACAGTAATGGACTATTCTCATGCCACTTTGCATTAGATCTCATGTATATCCCATATGCATGCAAGCAAAAGAATATTCCTTACTGAACAGTAGCCACCAGAAGACTGACATCCTTGTTTCAGAACAAAGTTTGAGTCCAGTGACACCTGAGGTATCTGAGGAAGTGTGCTTGCACACGAAAGCTTATACCATGAATAAAACTTTATTGGTCTTAAAGGTGCCACTGGAGTCAAAATGTGTTAGACAGACAGTATTATTTTCTCCTTCTGCCCTCCCATGGTGTGAAATATTTGGACTTTATGGTAAAATTCAGACCTTTTTGTGTGGATTTAAGTGACTTTCTGTGGCTGGGGCCATGTAGTTGTTGTCTGTAGATGAGGCTGAATGAGGGCAACATGACTTAAGGATCCAGAGAGTGCAAAGTGCGCACCCACGAGGGTTTTGTCAGGCCTTTTTCTTACACAACAACAAAATTGTTGGTGGAAAGTGCCATCAAGTCACAGCTGACCGATGGCGACCTCATAGTGATTTTTAAGGCCTGAGATGTTCAGAGGTGGTTTGCCATTGCCTTCCCTGGGCTTCCTTGGTGGTCTCCCAGCCAAGTACTAACCAGGGCTGACCCTGCTTCGCTTCAGAGGGTCTGACGAGATCGGGCTAGCCTGGACCATCCAGGCCAGGGCAACAGCAGAATGCTGGCACTTTAAGTACCACTTAATTGGGATGACCACTGCATTTCAGGGGGTCAGGGGGTCAGGTTAATGATGTCTTCAACGGGTCCTTTAAAAAGAATTTTGTCAAAGAGGTTCCAGAACTCTGTTCTGGCATGTTCCCCCAGAAAAAAAAGCCCTGGGAATTGTTTTGCTCACAGCAACAGGCAAAGCTTAGCTTGTATGCACTTGAAGAAGGCAACTTGGTTATGTATTTAATATTATTCAATGTTATTATAAAGAAATCAACCCTGACTGTTCCCTGGAAGGCCAGATAATGAAACTGAAGCTCAAATACTTTGGCCACCAAATGAGAAGGGCGCACTCCCTGGAGAAGACCCTGATGCTGGGAAAGATTGAAGGTCAAAGAAGACGGGGATGGCAAAGGATGAGATGGTTAGACAGTGTCATCGACGCAACGAACATGAAATTGAGCCAACTTCAGAGGACGGCGGAAGACAGGAGGGCCTGGCAGGATCTGGTCCATGGGGTCACGAAGAGTCGGACTCGACTGTGCGACTGAACAACAACAACAACAAAAATGTTATTATATGTGTCATGTGTGTAACTCTGTTTAAGGCACACCTCTCTTTCAAGGGGTCAGGTTATTCCTAATTTACTGGAGAAGGGAGGATACCTTTTCCAGATAGTAGATCTGCCAGCCCTGTGAAACATGGAGCATGCAGAATGTGTACCACTCGCTGGAGTGTTTGGAAGTGACTGAAAGAGAAACTTGCATGAGATTGTGGCTCTTCTTCCATTATTAAAAGTTGTTGCTGAGCACATAAAAAAAGCTGTGATCTTGCACAAGTCCCATTCTCTAATGTCACACTGTTCATACAAGTAGGCCATTTATTTGGACAGGGCTTTTCCAATTATTTATTTTTCATGTAACTATACAGTACATTGGTGTGATAAGAATGTAACTTTCTTTTACAAAACAAACCAATCCCACTCATATATAGCAAAAGCTAATTTGCCCTTCTAAGAAAACTGGACTTTAAAAAGCTGAACCCAGGAGACTTTGTATAGCAACTATCACAAAAATAAATAGCAATACTAACTTGATCTGTATTTTCATGCTTGTTGTAGGGTAGCTTCCGGCGATGTCAGGGGGTGTGGCATATGCAAATAAGTTATGCTAATGAGTGATGCTAATGAGCTCCTGCACCTCTTTTTCTACGAAATGACCCCTGAACAAGATTATGGTAAAGGTGACATGTGACCCAGGTGCCGCATGACGGAGTGAGCTCCTGTCTCTAGTTCCAGCTCCTGCCAACCTAGCAGTTTGAAAGCAAGAAATTGCAAGTAGATAAATAGGTACCACTTTGGTGGGAAGGTAACAGCGTTCCGTGCACCTTGGTGTTTAGTCATGCCGGCCACATGACCACGGAAACGTCTTCGGACAGCGCTGGCTCTTCGGCTTTGAAACGGAGATGAGCACCGCAACCCTAGAGTCGGATTCGACTGGCTTTCGAGCAAGGGAACCTTTACCTTTTAAACAGTTCTTAATTGTATATGCTGAAATGAGTTGTGTCCCCCAGAGTTCACTTGGGACAAATCCAAACAGCTAAACTAGTTTCGATTTCTGGTGCAGACATATGTATTGTCTAAAGTATGTACTCTCACTGCTAATTTTTAGAGGCCATTTCTGGGCGTATGAGAATTGGTAATTCTGCATAACAGGCTATGCCAAAAATGTGCCATATTTAGGCTATGACAGGTCAGGCTTTTGATTGTTCACTTTTTTTTTTAGTATCTCCACCCACCACAACACCCAGGAAGAGTCCACATGACAAGCCAAGCAGATGATTAATTGCTGCAAGTCTCTACCTGTGGTCTGCAATTCAACTGACACACCTGTGAGGTAAAATTAATGAAAATCTGCATTAGTAAGCACAATGATGCACAAACATATAACACTGAGAAGTTTTGAAAACTGGGCACAGGGCCAGAAGAACAGCTAGAAGTTGCAGGATGCCTCTGCAAATGAAAAGTGCTCTAGCTACATTTTTTTTTAAGTTTCTTACTGTGCATTCCTTTGTGGAGTTACTTCAGTCTACACCCGTTCATTTCATTGGGCTTAAACTGGAGTAAACTTGCACGAGATTGCACTGTTTCCTCATAAACTCTCGTTTTCAGAAACCATGTTAACACTCCATGTAAAAATGCACATGGATGGATCCACCAAAACTACAAAATGCCAGAATAAAGAATTCTCATGCAACTTCAGTCCAGCTCACCTTCACGGGGCAGGAAGGGTGCATTTTGTTTTCAGGACTGCATGCACAGGTAGTCATGGCTTTCAGCCACAAGCAAA